AAAGTAAAATCTTTGAAGAACGGGTAACAAGCAGACAATGGCAGCCATAAGTGACATGGTCCTCTTCCAGAGCTCCTTTCCCTCTCCCTATCTTCTGTCCCCCTCTTCCTCCCTTTCTGTCTCCTGAACAAGTGATAAGGCTCAATGGAGACATGACTTGCTCTAGAGGGGTTTCTTTGATTACTTTTGTTCTCTTCATAGCACCTTGCTTATATCTCTATTACAATACCTACCACCCTGTTTCATTAATTGCTTAATTATTGTTGATTCTCTCCATCCCATTGTCTCCTTTAGAGAAAACACATGGACTCAAGCTGCATCCTCAGTGCTTACACAGTTTGCAGCTCAAAGTAAGTACAGCATACAACAGAAGACAAACAACATTGAAGAACAAGGGAATGAATGAAAGAATGAGCAGAGGAGGTCACCATGTACAAGGATCTTGCTGCTGGCCAAAAGAAGTAACAAAATTCTATCATAACTTGAATACCTTAAGACAAATCAGTCCTAGAGACTTTTCTAAGCCTGGAGAAATCAGGTTATTTATAAATCAAGTTTTCTAACATCTTTTTTGAATAAAGTTGATTATGAGTATACTGTATACTTTTTAACAGAAATTGCATCTTCTGTAAATTTAAAAGACTCAAACTAAATGAAATACCACATGTGTGCTCTTGACCCAGTCTTAAGTAGTTAAATATAACTTTTTTGGAAACCCTTTGCATGTTCCTTCCATAATACTGTGTATAGATCCAGAAATCATGACTTCTTACTTTTCTATTGGAGATTTTTGTATAATAACTTCAAAATCTCCTTTCTTTATTTTCCCCCAAATGTTTCCCTTAGAAGATAATATAAATGCTTAAATAATAAACAACTCCAAATATAAGTAAAATGATTCCCTTTTTGTCAGTTTCAAGATCAAAAGAAGGAAAAATACTCTGGGCAAAATTGAATAACTTTGAGGAATGTATCAAGTGGAAATCTATCATTGTATAATATTTGATTTATGGATTCAGTTATACATAATTGTATTAAATAAATTGTTAATAGACTATAATAAATAATAGACTAATTTAGAAATACTACTTTTTGTTTGAATATGAGATAATTAAATAATTGCATTTAAGTTATTTATATGAATCTTGACCTCAGGATCTTCCTCACCTAGAGCCACTGTTTAAGTTCTCTCAAGTTTTCAGAGTTGTTTGAGATGAAGTGCTTTTTCAATGTATGTTTGATGCCTTTTCATGTGAAGTCACAAGAACCCCATTGCATATGAGGACTTCTTCTTTCCCATATTTTGTCTCATGGCTGCATATTTATAACTTCTACAGTGTAACCAAGAACTGCACTGTGGCATGTTTTTGTTTGCTTTTCTTGGCAGTACTAGGCCAAGAAAGGGCCTTATACTTTCCAGGCAAGTGCTCTACAACTTGAGTCACATTCCCAGACTGCAAACCTGCTACCTCTGCCTTCTACATAGATGAGATTACAAGGATGCATACCATGCACAGATTGCTTTTTGAGACGAGGTCTTACTAAATTTTTTTTTCCTGGACTGGCCTCAAAGTGTGATTCTCCCATTTCCATCCCTGCATAGAGCTGGGATTACAGGGATGTACCACCATGCCCAGCCCTGTTCTTTTTGAAACATATCTCCGTATTTGCATTTCCCAGCTTTCTGAGGTACAATTTACCATTAAAAATGTACATTTTAAGGTACACAACTTGATGACTTGATAAACTGTGATGCACTATGAAATAATCACCACAATCAAGCTAATGAAAGAATGGCATTCAATATTTGCAATTGTGAGAGCACACTCCCTTGAATAATTACTAATTCTTTGGAAAAGGATTTCTTTTGTCTCTTCTTAAAATGTATTCTCCAAATAATTTCAATAAAAATATCAAGCCAGCATAATATCTTTTTTTGTCTTTTTAAAAAATAGTTTCTTGTTAAAAATAAAAGACCTGGGAGAATACTGGGTTAATAGTTACAAGAACTTGAATTCTTTTTTTCCTCAAGAATGGGAAAACAGAAAACTAAATTTATATTTAGACATATATGAAATTTTCTCTTTTGTGAAAACATTCCTCATATATGTCTATTTTTCATTAACTGAATTTGGCATTAACTGTAGCAAACCAGATGCTTATGCTGATCAGAGCCCAGACTAGAGTCTTCTTCAGTAGACAGTGTTTTTACTCAGCCTGTGTTGATTTTCACTCATTTGCAAAATTGATAATAAGACATTCCAAACTTCTTTCTAATTGCTTTTGTGAAATTGAGACACTTTTCCACTTCAAATATGTCTTCTTTCCCTCTTCCTTGCACTTCTTGTAACAACAAGTGTTACACAAACAGGTTCCCATTTGAGTGCAAGTGAATTCACTTAATGTGAAGATCCCTTTACCACTTTGAAATCCAGTGTTACTCAAGTTGTCAGAAAAACTCCAAGGAACAAATGCCTCCCTTCAAAAGACTTCTAATGCTGTAATCAGCCTTCTGCAGAAATTATGTATTTTCCCAACTGAGCCTTTGGTAACACTGTCAGTTTTGTACAGCCTTTGTAATGATCCAGAAATGGATACATTTCTTCAAAATCCTTCTCTTATTTTAAAAACTCAGTATTTGTGTTCACTTCAAATAATCATTTTAGCATTTTTTTTTGTTTCAGTAGCACATCACTTCTGTTACAGATTTTTTTCTCTTTCTTGGTCATTATCTCAAAAGAAAAATTTGACTATTTGACTTAACATTTTTGAAATGTCATCTCTCTTTGGTATTTGATGCTTAGTTCTGGCACCAAACATATATCTGGATAGTCTGCCTTTTTCATTCATTTCAAGAAGCAGCTCTAGTAGTAGTGCAACTAGCTGGGTTTTATTCCTGGCTCCCTACTTACTATCTGATTCACCTTTAGAAGTCACTGAACTTGTCTATTACTTTGCTTTCTTTGTCTATGTGATGGAGAACTGAGGCTCTTGACTGACAGTTGTTAGCCTTTTCAATAAGGGCACTTTGGACTGTCCAGCCATTCCAATATTCCCATTTGTATTAACAACCTGATTAATCTGTAGAATCTTGATAAACAATCACTTATTCTAAACCACTAAGTTTTAAGGTGGGATGTTTTACAGCAATAGATAACCAAAGCATTTTTATTCAATTTTTACAATGATACAATGAAGATAGGTATGTACCTTTATCTCAAAATTGAGCAACCTGGGTACCAGAGAAGTTAAACAACTTATCCTGTGTTACATAAACCATATAGGTCAGAGCTGGAATTCAGGAGCCACAATTCCTCGCCTGACCTACAGAACTTGAGTAAGGGAGTGATATTTATAAAGCCATCATCTAAAACAGAGCCTTAATGAGTTAATTTAGAGAAAAATCAGACAAGTTGTTGCTGTTCTTCATAACACCTGTAATCTAAAGAAAGCAAGGTAAACTGATAAAGACTAAGATGAAATTATCCAATAAATACAGTACAGAAATTGTCTCATGAAATAGGTAGCCTGCCAACCACCTGTTTTACTACCTTGAGGAATTTAATATTCTTTAAAGAAAGAGCAATCTTGTAAAGAGAGGTTCATAGATTAAGGGCAGACAGGAACATTTTTCCAATAGATTAGCTTTTTCAGTCTCCCACTCCTGTGATGGTAACCCTTCATTTGTTCCTTCCTTCCATAAGTATTTAGAATGAGCACAAGCTAAGAGCTCTAGATCTCGATGCTCTAGCGATGAATGACTGAACCACTCCACTGCCAAGGATGCATGGTGTGGTATTGTAAGTGTTCAGCTGACTTTCTCTAGAGGACAGGGAGAAATCATTGAATGAGAGTTTTAAGGATGGAAGTTACATGATTCTATCGCCTTTCAGAAAGATCGTGCTTGGTGCATTGTAGAAAATAGATTACAGTGGACTAAGCCATAGGCAAGACACAAGTTAGAGGGCTATACTTGCAGTAAGAGAAACTGAGACATTTCCCTTCATGAGGAAGATTAATGAGAAAGGAGATATCAAAGCAAGAGACATAGCTGAATTCAAGAAATAAAAAGGAGAGAAAATAAGGAGAATTAGCTGAAAATTTGCTACAAGCCAATAATCTGTAATGAATTAATGTAATTAACTCATTTATTTTCAGGATTATCTTTTAGGATGGCATAAAATGAATAATAATGAATGCAGTAAGCTCACCTTATTTGTGGATTTATTGCACACAGATTTGACCAAGCGTGCTAAAAAAAATTCAAAACCAAAAATTTTAAGCCCTATACAAAGAATTATGGGTCTAGTGGTTGGACAGGGTTTGACTGCTCTGTATACTCCTGAGTACAACTGAAAGAATTTCAAGAATCTCCTTTCCAAGGGGGCTGCAGTGTCCAGGAATGTCATGTGTGCAAAAGAATACCAGAAAAAATTCCCAACTTCTTAAAGGTTATAAACATCACCATAGGAAAATATAGGATAGTGAAGATGGGGTAGGGGGGCATTCTGTACCAACAGCTTTATCTTACCTTACTTATTAATGTTACAAGGCATATTTGTAAGCAAAGTTTATTGTACTAATTAGCTCATTAATAACCTCTAGGAAAAAAAGCCTGACTTCTCTGTGGTCTGATATGCTGAATTTTAATGACCCAGATATAAAGAAAATCAGTGTGCCAGGTTCCAGGAAAGCCCCAAGACTCCATAAACAGGGCTTATTTTTCAGTGTATGACATCACAGAGAAGTGAGAATAGTGGGTTAAAATACTGAGGAACGTCCTCAACTCATTTATAATGCACCAGGTTTGGCTAATATAAACAAGCAATATTTATGATGTTCTAATTTAGCAGAAAAAAATGGTTTTGATTCTACTGAATTGAAGCAGACACTTTATTCTGGAGTCCACATGAGTCATGCTGGCTGGGGTTTCTGAGGGGGCGGGTCAAAGGGGGACAGGAAGGGCTTTGGATCTTATCCGCCTCCAAGGCACTAACCATTTAACTGCTGTCTTGAATGTGGTCCCTGACATACTGAATGAAGCCCAATGTGGTGCCCTGGCCTCCCATGTCTGGTGTGTGGATATGTTTGTTTTTTAAGGAATCCAGTATGGCAGCACGAATGCGAAGGGCATGGGCGTGGAGTTTGAGGTAATCCAGCATGCTGCAACTTGCCAGCAGCATGGCTGTGGGGTTGGCTATATTCTTATGTGCTAAAATCCTGCCTGATTGCCTTGAAGCTGCCTCAAACACTGCCTATAAATTACCATAGTTGGCTCCAGGTACAACGCCTGCTCCTCCAACCAACCCCGTGCAGATATTACCGATAATGTTGCCATAGAGATTGGGCATCACCATGACATCAAACTGTTGGGGCCGGGACACCAACTGCACTGTAGCATTGTCCACAACCACGCTTTGTAAGGCGAGGTGAGGACAGTGGGAAGCCGCTTCCTCACAGCATCTGAGGAAGAGTCCATCTCCTGGTTTCATGATGTTGGCCTTGTGCACAGCTGTCACTTTCTTACGCCCCATCTTGTAGGCTAGCTGGAAGGCATGCTCGGCAATGCGCAAAGACTTAGCCTTGGTAATAATCTTCCGGCTCTCTATCACTCCCTTCACACTCTCGTGCTCCAGGTTGCTGTACTCGCCCTCTGTGTTTTCCTGAACAACTATGATGTCTACATCCTTGTGCCGAGTCTCCACATATGGCAGATTCTTGAAATGGATGACACTGGCGTAGAGATCTAGGGTGGCACGGAGCATGTTGTTGCGGGATGTGTGCGAAAATGGCAGGCTGTAATCCGTTTCAGTGTTACCCTTCAAAGCCACGTGGTTTTTGACGAACTGACATAATGGCTTTGTGAACATCTTCCTCAGAAGATCTGGCAGTCACTTGAAACTCCTCAAAATTCAGAGGCACACAAGCATGTTGGAACACAGTCTTGACATGTAGCATAAGTTCAGGCCCAATGCCATCTCCAGGAATCATAGTCACCATATGCTGCCTATCAGGCGTGCATGATAGAGGAACTGTGCAATACGAACACAAGTGCTTAAAGGGGAGCTCAGGGCCAGGAAAAATTTTCCAAAAATGGCCAAGAGTGGTAGGTTGGGAAATTGCCTTCACAGAGCAACTGGCTGCTTTCAGCATCTTCAGTGCCATGATCATTAAGTGGAGATTCTTTCAACTTATGTGAAAATATGTGCTCTTTCTCTTGGTTGAAATTAGCTTTCATTGGTGGAATTCTGGGTTCATCATTGTGTTCTAGGTCATAATTCTCTCTCTTTCCTTATATTCTATGTTTGACCAACATTCTATTGTAGTGAGAGAGCTAGATAGGGGAAGATGTGATGTGTTATATAGTAGAAAATATGAACATCGTGGATTTGAATATCATTTCATTAGACATATAAAGTGTGCTATGATATATATATGTATATATATATATAATGCTTTAAAAATGCAGACTTTATTTTAGAGCAGTTTTAAGATCACAGCAGAATGGAGTGGAAGGTACAGATATTTGCCATATGCCTTGCCCCAATATAAGCAGATCCTTCCCCACTGCCAAAATTCTGCCTGAAAGTGGCACATTTGCCATAATTGATCAATCAACATTGATACATTGTTGTCACTCAAAGTCCCTGGTTTATATTAGGTTTTGCTTTTGACATTGTACATTCTATAGATTTGGACAAATGTGTAATGACATGTAAATACTAGAGTATTTTCTCCTTTGTAAAAGAGAAAGACTTTCTCAGAACAAGAGGGAAGAGCAGGTCTTGTTTTGGGGAGGAGGGTTGGTACCAATGGGGAGGGAAGAGTTGGGGAAAGGGCATGGGAGGGTAATTATGGTGCAAATACTGTTTACACATGTATGCAGATGGAAAAATGATGTCTGTTGAAACTATTCCAGGAATGGGAGGAAGGTGAATAAAAGAGAATGGTGGAGGGGGTGAATTCAAGTATGACACATTTGATCTATTATAAGGACTTTTGTAAACGTCACAATGTACCCCCACCCAGCACAACAATAACAAAGAAAAAGAAAAAGACTTTCTCAGAAAAACACCTGGTTAGAAATTCAATTTCTTGCTACTATCCCTAGACTTACTGAATCAGGATTTTTGGATTATTATTATCTTAATAATTTTGATGCACACAAAATTTGAGAGCCACTGGGCTATGAAATAATCACAATAGGAAATCATGGCAACTGTATTAGAGTGAAGACAGTGATAAAAGAGAAAAATCCTTTCAGAGATATTTCATACATAAACAACTAGGCTACTGACCTGGGCAACACAGACCATTATCATTCTCTTATTATCATTATCATTTCATTGTAGTACTGGGGTACACTGTGAGATGTATAACGTATCTTAGTTAAATTCACACCCTCCATCATTCTCCTTTATTCTCTCTCCCCCATTCCTAGAATAGTTTCAGCAGGTCTCAGTTTTCCATGTTCATACATGAGTGTATAATATTTCCACTATATTTACCCTCATACACTCTGTCCTTAAATCCTCTCCGCCCTACTTGTTCCAACCACAAGACAGAACCTGTTTTACTTTCCTGTCCTCTGTTCATGAAAAAACATTTTCTTTGTTTAAGATATTTATGCAGAGAGTTTCAGTATGACATTTCCATGTATACATGTATTGTATCCCGAATTAGTTTGTCCCTCCATTTTTCTTACCTTTCTGCCTTTGTCCTCTTCTTATGGTGATTTCAACAGATTTAAAAATTCTATATTCATTCTTGTGTAGAAAGTACATCAACCATGCATGCCCTTCCCCCTCTACTGTACTTCCTTTCATTTTTCCTCATCCTGTGTTGTTTAACAGTTTTCAGCATGTTTCCTGTGTCTTGTTCCTACACAGATGTAATGTACTTCATTATTATTATACTATCTTTCTTTCCTTCTTTTCCTCCTTCCTTCTCTCCACTATGAATCCCACTTTTTCATACATGCTCTCTATATATTTCTTTGTACAAACAATGTTGATTGTATTTGTATTGGGTCTATATTCTACGGATGAGAGAAAACATGCTGTCTTTGGCTTTCTGAACCTGGATAACTTCACTTAAGATGATGTTCTCCAGTTCTGTTTACATGCAAATGATAAAATTTCATTATTCTTTTTGGCTGAATAAAATTCCATTGTAATTAAATACCACATTTTCTTAATCCATTCATCAGTTGTGGGGCATCCTGTTTCCATTAGAACATTTTTCTTAATGTATTTACCAGACTGTTTGAAAGATGATGCAGTCAATGAAAATACTCAACACTAGAAGAAAAGCAAGTTGGCTGGAGGATTAAGATTGAAAATGAATTCAGTTCACACATGCTATATTTGGGAGCTTGTAAAAACATCCACATAATGATGCCCAGTAGGTGGCTTGATAAGCGAGTCTTCAGCTCCAGAAAAAGGATCATGAGTGATGACACAGATTCAAGGGTCATCAACATATGTAAGAGAGTTACACACACAGTATATGAAATAACTGAAAGCATTGGTTTTTAGCTTTTCTTTTGCTGACAGAATGGCATTCATCTGAGATACACTCCCAGGAGCATACGTAGATTGTGATGAAAACCAAACACCCAATTTACATACACACACATGCACTGCACACACCAGGAGGTGGCCGAATGAAGCACTGCCAGAGTGTTTTATAAGTCATATTCACAAAAGCAAAACTTTCCCAGCAAATGATTAGTCAAATCTACTTAATGATCTCAAAATGTGTTTTTTGAAGGGAAAATGTATATACAGCTATTATAATATAAAAACATATTGTTCTATATTTAAAATATAAAATTCAGACTTCTATGAGTAATAGAAACTCCCTGCATAGCTATCTTAAACAAACAAAAAATACGTTTTGTAAAAACCAGAGAACAGGAAGGAAAACAGGTCCTGTCTGTAGGGTTGGCACCAGTGGGAAAGGGAGAATATAAGGAAAGGATGTGGGAGGTGAATATGGTGGAAATATCATGTACTCATGTATGAAAATGAAAAATGAGACCTGCTGAAACTATTCCAGGAGTGGGGGGAAGGAGGGATAAAAGAGAATGATAAAGGGGATGAATTCAACTATGATATACTATAAGAATTTTCATGAATGTCACAATGTATCCCTAGTACTACAATAATAAAAATAGAAGGAAAATCAATTTATACTAATAAAAACTTTTAAAAAATTCTAATGGTATTTAAAAGTACACCATACCATTTACATTTATTTGTGATGTTAATATAAACAGTATTGTTGCACATATCATTTGGATGATCACTTTGCTTTTGATTTGGAAATTGTAACTGTAGTCTCACTCTCATTTCTATGCTAGAAAAATGTAGATGTACACACATTTTCTTTACTTCTTTTCTTTATTACATATGTATCCATGAGTAAAATCAAAGAAATAAATGCAACTATAAATCCACAGTTTATAGACTATAAAATTTCAAAATTGTTGTAACTATTGAGGATATATCAATAACCTTAAATCATGGACATTTTCAGAAAATGTAAAATAGGCTATGAATTATCAGCAATTCACTAACAGCTAAATTCAAATTCCACTTTGTCACACACAAGCCAGCATACATATTGACATGTAAATGAGTGAGTGTGATAGCAACGTTAAGGTGGATCTAATTAAATTTAAAAATTAAATCATTCACAAGTGCTTATAGCTTATGCTTATGAAAAATTGAGCAGTTCTGATTGTGACATAGTAATATGTTATTCCATTAAGATCAAAAAGTACTACAATAGGACCAAGTTTGTAGAGAAAGCTCAGGATAAATATCACTGGGGATCATTGATACTTGAAGTGTTAGAGGAGCATGATGGGAGAAATAAGCTGGGACGCAGGAAGGAACCGAGAGAGGAGGATGTCACAGACTCAAAGAGCAGTAAAATATTCAAGGAATGAGTAGTCAACATTGTCAAAACTCTGTTGAGAGATAAGTAATATTAGATTAGAAATAGCAATGAGGGGGATCATTCACAGCCTCACTGACAGCATGAAGATTAGTGGTTAGGAACATGGAATCCAGAGCCAAGCTGTCTGTCACGTCTGGCTTCTGTATCCTTCTTGAGTTTTATGACCTCCCTTAAAATTTATATCTCAGAGGAAGTAGACAGCAGAAATTTTTTTTTAAATGGATACATAGATAGCATGTAATAGACAAGTAAGCAAAATCATGTGACTCTTAATGTCAGCAAAAAATGAATGCTATGAAATTGTACAAAATGTCCACTATCTAAGATCTTAATTCTAGGAAAAGTTAAATGAAATGTGTCTGGGTAGTTGGTGCTGAATGGCCCTAAGTGACTCATTTAGTGACATGGAAGTGCAGAAGATGGACTGGCTGGATGGGCTAAGGTGCTTATGAAAGTTCATTTTTGGAGAACATCATTCTGAGTGAGGTTAGCCTGGCCCAAAAGACCAAAAATCGTATGTTCTCCCTCATATGTGGACATTAGATCAAGGGCAAACACAACAAGGGGATTGGACTATGAGCACATGATAAAAGCGAGAGCACACAAGGGAGGGGTGAGGATAGGTAAGACACCTAAAAAACTAGCTAGCATTTGTTGCCCTTAATGCAGAGAAACTAAAGCAGATACCTTAAAGCAACTAAGGCCAATAGGAAAAGGGGACCAGGAACTAGAGAAAAGGTTAGATCAAAAAGAATTAACCTAGAAGGTAACACCCACGCACAGAAATCAATGTGAGTCAATGCCCTGTATAGCTATCCTTATCTCAACCAGCAAAACCCCTTGTTCCTTCCTATTATTGCTTATACTCTCTCTACAACAAAATTAGAGATAAGGGCAAAATAGTTTCTGCTGGGTATTGAAGAGGGGGAGCGGGAGGGGGTGGAGTGGGTGGTAAGGGAGGGGGTGGGGGCAGGGGGGAGAAATGAACCAAGCCTTGTATGCACATATGAATAATAAAAGAAAAATGAAGAAAAAAAAAAAAGAATTCACTCAGAAAAAAAAAAAAAAGAAAGTTCATTTTTGAAGAAGGCCTAGCAGACACAAATGTGGAAGACAGGTATGGTTTTCTGAAATAGATGCAAAATTAGAAGGTCTGTGGAATATACTAAGCAATCCTATTTGGCTGAAAGGAAGGGATT